ATAATATTAATAATATTACTGGTTCGGAAAAATAATATTCATAATATTACTGTCCCAAACAGTAATATTACTGTCTGAGACAGTAATTTAGTAGTCAAGACAGTAATATTAATTAAAATATTTTTTTTCTAAGAAAAAACAATTCAAACAAAAAAAAAAAAAAAAAAAAAAAAAGTCAACGCCGGAGACCGGCGGTCAACGGTGGTTGACCGACCGGAAAAAAAATTCAGGAAAAAAAAATTTTCAAAAAAAAAAAAAAAAAAAAAAAAAAAAAAGGTCCACGCCGGAAACCGGGGGTCTCCGGAAGTCAACGCCGGAATCGGGCCGGAAAAAAATATTTCAAAAAAAAAATTATTTTCGGAAAAAAAAAAGTTTTGGGGGTAAATGTGATATATTTGTTTAAATCCGGGGTCAATGTGTAATATTAAGAAAGTTAGAGCATAATGGGTGGAATTGTTAAGAATTATATTATTGAGGGTATTTTAGACTAAAGACATGGGGATGGGCTTAATTGAGAGACTGTTTTTTTTGTGGACTAAAATGCATTTAAGTCCCATGTGATGGGCCTTTTTGCCATTTGCCCTATTACTTATTAGTTCTTTTCAAATCGTTAATTATTAAAAGTTTAAAACTTAAAACCACAACACCCCTTCAACAAAGAACAAAAAGAAACCACCACACAGGAAAAATATTTTTAGCGCCTCAATTTTTTGTTTCCTATTCGTTTTTGTCCGAAACTCGCACCGTTTTTTTTTTTGTTTTTAAACAGTAATCCAAAATTCGTACTTGATGGCGGGGAAGCGAGTCAGAATTGGTGGGAAATTTCAACCCAAGAAGGTGCGCGCGCTCTCAAAATTGATGTTGCCTTGTTATCCGTTCAAATCGAAATATTAAAACTTTACCTTTTTTCCCAATCCATTGGTTCTTGTAAACCATGTTTGCGTTATCCATGTTAGAAACTAAACCCATGCAGCGTTTTGTTTTCTGATTTGTTTATTCCCCCCTTTAATTTACTGATACGAAATATTATATAAATATTATTTAATTATTAGTTAGTTAGTATTTTATTATTAGTTTAATTAGCATGGTATATTTATATGGCATATAGCCGTATGTTAGTTTAGGGTTAGGAAGATTATTAAATATTTTAATTAGTATAGGTAATTATCTTTCCTAGTTAGATTAGGATTCTAGGGTTTTATTCTCTTTAAATAGTCGTATTGTGCTAGGGTTTTGGAAGGAAGAGAAATAATAAAGAAGAGTTTTCTTACGTTTAGTAAAGAAATCTTATGATACACAAGAGATCGTATCAATTGGTATCAGAGCGAAGTTGCGATTAACACCAACGCTTCGTTAGCAAGGCAGCGATTACATCAAAGCTACGCTGGAGCAAAGTTGAGATCACATCAAAACTTTGTGAGAATCATGATGTCAGAAACAAGACGGTTGGAGCGATTGGAAAAATCCGTAGAGAAATTACGGATTAATTTTCAGAAATTGCTTAAACAAAGTCAAGGACGACGTCAACGCCATCATAAAAGCCGAAGGGACCGCCGCCCATCACCGCCGATGCCGCTGCCGAGCCTATCGCCGGAGGAAGAGGAAGAGGACGACGATGAATTTTTCGAAGAACCCCAATTGTTTGTGAGTTCGCCGAAAGAAGAAGAATCGGATTCAACTGAGATAAAGTGGGACGACGAGCCGAAAGAAGAATTATCGGATTCACTTGAGGTAATTTGGGACGAAGACGAGGAATTAACAAAGGAGGAGAATGAAGAGCTACGATGGATATTGAGAGATTTCCATGATGTTCAAAACAAAGAAGACGAAGGAGTATTGACGATTTTCAAGGAGATTAAGAAATCTAACAATGCTATTGAGAAGATTGATGTATCACTAAAAGTGTCAAATATTTCCTCGATGATGTTTAATGAATTGTTTGACCATAACAAACAATACGTTAAAGAGTCAACGATGGTGGAGACATGTGATGAAGTAGTCGATCAATTGATTGAGATTCGTGTTCTCAGCATCCTACATGAGAACAAATTATTTTTGAAGAAATTTGATGGCATCAAGCATAGATGGAAGCGCAAAAAAGAAAAAAGAGAGAGCTGCAAATATTCGAACCTTGAGGGCAAGGTTCATTTCAAGAGGGGTGGTTTGATACGAAATATTATATAAATATTATTTAATTATTAGTTAGTTAGTATTTTATTATTAGTTTAATTAGCATGGTATATTTATATGGCATATAGCCGTATGTTAGTTTAGGGTTAGGAAGATTATTAAATATTTTAATTAGTATAGGTAATTATCTTTCCTAGTTAGATTAGGATTCTAGGGTTTTATTCTCTTTAAATAGTCGTATTGTGCTAGGGTTTTGGAAGGAAGAGAAATAATAAAGAAGAGTTTTCTTACGTTTAGTAAAGAAATCTTATGATACACAAGAGATCGTATCATTTACAACTAAGTTGGTGTTTGCAAAAGCTTTTTGGTAAGTGATTCCAAACTTTTTGTTTTTGGCTCAAAACACTTTTCAAATGTTTGCAATACCAACGGTTGCTTCTACTTTTCTTAAAATAAGCTGATTTAAGATAAAATATAAAAAGTACTCCTCAACCAACTTCTTCTAGAAATAAGTTGCTCGCAATTGGCCCGCATGGATGTAGCTCAACTGGTTCCGAGGTGGTAAGTTGGTATAAGGTCCTAGAGATCGAATTCCCGCAGCCGTAGTGTTGGAATTCCAACTCCAATGGTTGGTTCCTTGTGGGCACCAGGTCCGGGTCCGCTACCTTAACGGGCCGTTGAGTCACCATGATTTACATTCCTCCATCAAATACTGACCATGATTTACATTCCTCCATCAAATACTTGTCAGGGGCCAAGGGATGGGGGCCTTGGGGCGAGGGATTTCGCCTTTTGGTATAAGTTGCTAGCAATTGTTTTTCTTAGAGTTTGCAAACACCTCCAACTTTTAAAAATAATCACTTATTGTTGACTTAATTCACAATCACCAACTTCTACTTTCTGAAAACTTTTGCGAACCCCACCCGAATATTTAAGTTTTTTTCCAATTTGACGGTTGTGTAAGTTGTCAATAGGTAAAAAAATATACATTAACTCCTATTATTTTCGCAGTAGAGTTTTAATTCAAGCTTCATCGTTGGTAGGGTGTGGGTTTGTGCATTATTCTTTTAGTTCTGATAAGATTTTATTTTTTAATAGAGTGCAAAGAGATGCAAGCCTGGTAATAATGATCGAATAAGTGAGTTGCCGGACGATATTCTTGTCACTATACTACATCTGCTACCGTTGAAGGAAGCTGCACGTACAAGTGTTCTTTCATCACGCTGGATATACTTGTGGAAAAATATCTCGTCCCTTGATTTTGATGCAGAAAGTGCTTTGGTCAAGATTGCAGATGACCGGAAGTTAAGCAATGAAGAGGGCTGCAAGTATGTCAAATGGGTGAATTGCGTTCTCCAATCACATAAAGCATCCACCGTGAAAGAATTCAGAGTGTGTTTCGATTTAGGCCGAAAGTACAAGTATGCAATCACTCAGTGGCTTGAATTTGCGTTTGCTAGAAATGTTGAGAGGTTGGAGTTGGATTTTTCACCCAGAACTTATAGAGTAGGCACAGTGGATTATGCATGTTTTGTTTTCCCGAACAAGTTCCTTAAACGCCCTTCACAAAGTTCCTCTATTAACTTTAGATCCCTTAAAGAGTTGTGTTTTAAATGTGTTACTGTGAGCGGTGAAGCTATTGAGTTCTTTCTACGCAAATGCCCTTTGCTCGAAAAATTGGTTGTTCAGAACGCAAGTCAGATATCAAATCTTGAAGTTTGTGGTTCATCCCTTGCTTTAAAACACTTGAAGTTAAAATCCTGCTACGATTTGAAATCCGTTAAGGTATCTGCTCCAAATCTTGCTTCACTTTCTATTCTGGATGCGGAAGGACTCTTGCTTGAGAATGTTCCAGCACTTGTTAAGGTATCTGTTACCTCTATTATTGATCAATATTCTGTCAAGAATTTACTTCCAACACTTTCTTGCTGCATTTTCCAATTGGAGATTCTTAGCTTGAACCTGGATGACCACGGAAAGGTTAGACAACGCAGTTGTGCTTGTGATTTCTTTATTTTTCATTTACACATAATTACGTTTTGTTATGTTTTATTTCACAGAAAATATTTCTACCCATGTTTCCTCAACTTCCTAAACTGAAGAAGTTGGTCATAAAATTTTGGGCAAAAGGTGAGCAAAGTCTTATGGGACTAACGTCTTTGATAAGGGCATTTCCCAACTTGCAGGAATTTGTTTTAAAGGTATGTTTGCTTTCATGTTGTTAATATATATACATCTTCCATGTTATTTATTTTTTCAATTGTCTATCAAATATAATTACTACCTCTCTTTGTTTGTGCTTATGAGTAATTATATTTTCTGTAGTGGACCTTTGTTTTGTTTTACATAGTAGCAATATATTTATCAATTAATTTTCTTTTTTCTCCATTTGCAGTTAAGGGTGTGGGATCATTTGAGGTCAAATGAAGAAGTGAAGAATTCTATCAAGTGTCCCCACGAGCACCTTAAAGTGGTCAAGTTTTGTGGCTATTACGGTCGCTCCAGTGATGCTGAATTAGTCGGATACATTTTAGATAATTGTATGGCGCTTGAGAAATTAGTTATTGATCCACGTTACCCATTCTTTTTCCGTAGAACACCATCGGACACTGAATTAGTTGAGGAACAACTTAAAGCACAAGTACCTCAGCACATCGAATTTGTCATTCTTTAAATTAATTCTATAGGCATGTATATTAGTGTTGTGGTAAGATCTTCCCAGGAGTCGTCTGCTCTAGTCGTTATTGATACTTTTTGCACTAGTCGTTATTGATATTTTTCATTGCAAAATTAGCACTAGTTTCCAATGTGGTAATCTAATTTGCATGGCCATTTTAGATTTTTTGGCAGTATCGTGGTCTATTTGACATAGAAATTCCAACTCTTCAATTCAGAATGATGTATGACGTTATACAGTAGGGTAAACTGCATAAAAAACCGCTACGTTACGGCAAACCCACCAAATTACCTTGTGTTAATTTTATTGCGTAAAATCCCCTGTGTTTTATTTTATCGTGCGTGAAATCCCCTATTCTGTTAAAAATTAACACCGTTAACTATTGAGTAGGTTTAATGCAAGTTTTTCGTAACACGGGGGGTTTGGTGCATGATATTTACAATAAAAGTGACATTAATGCAAAATTTATGTATTTATTTATTTAAAATTTGAATTATTTTTTTCAAATTAAGTCAACCACATTTATTCAATCTTTCAGAGTCAAATTTTCGAAATTATAAATATAAAAATTTGGGATAATTACAGTTTTGGTCCTTCAAGTTTGCACGTTTTTCACATTCGGTCCCCCATTTATCACCGTCAATAAAATACACACTAATGTTGTCACATTTTAACACATTTAGTCCCTTCGTCTCTTTAACCGTTAAGTAGTAACCGTCAACAGTTGAATTTGGGGTTATTCTTTGAGAAAATTGCAATAAGACCCCTGTATTCTTCCAAAATATTCTAAAAACCTCTAAAATTTTATCCAACCATAATTTAACCCCAATTTCATCAATTAACCAATTTTACCAATGACCCCGATTTTTCAAAATTAGGTAATCCGACGCTGACTTTCTTTTTAACTCCGTTAACTCCTTTTTCGATTGATCTTTTTTTGCCGCTGTTGACCGATGTTGAATGTCGGGTTAACAACGTTGACATTTTTTTTTCTTAATTTTTATTTTATTTTTATTTAAATTGTTGAGTAACTTGAAAAATATAATTCTAAATAATTCAAAGTTGATAATCGGTGAGAAAATAATATCATAAAAAAGTCAAAATAAAGAAAAAGGAAAAAAGTCAACGCATCTCAATGACGAAATTTTTCAGACAAAAAAAAGATAAATATTAACGGCCGGTGTTAGCCCCAAAAACCGTTGTACTAGAGTGGTTATCTCATTCCAAGTTCGTCTTCTTCATATTTTTTTAGGAAGAAATTTGGGATGGACTGGCGGTTCCAAGAAGAAAAAAATGAGGGAAATAAATTATGGATTTTAGATTTTTTTAAAATTGTATTTAGGTCCTAGAATTTTAGATAAAAACTTTGTTAGAAGTTTGTAATTTTAATATTACGATACTTGATATTAATGTAGTATTATTATTGTGTTATACTGTAATTGTGTTGATAAAAAAAAAAGTCACCCGAAAAAGTTCGAAAAAATTCAAGAAAAATAAAATTCAACATTGTTAACCGAGAATACAATTTCGGTGAATGGCGTCAAAAACAATAATAAAAAAAAAAGTCAATGCCGAAAAAAAAAAATCAACGACGGTCAATGGTCAGCGGTAATAGTGGTAAAAATCGGGGTCGTTTGCCAAAATTGATTAAATGATGAAATTTGAGTTAAATTAGGGTTGAATAAAATTTTAGGGGTTTTTAGAATATTTTAAAAGAATGCAGGGGTCTGAGTGCAATTTTCTCTATGAAAAATTAATTGGTGGCATATATCTTGAATACACAAGTAAAAGTAACATTACATATAGTTATTTATGAAGAAGAAGAGAGATAGATACTTGATCTCCTCTATAATTTGCTCTCTTTAATCTTAACTTTGTTGTTTTGAAAACGACAAGTAAAATATTTCACATTGATACGTGTCTTGAAGATACATATAATGGAAAATTATAAGAGAAAATATTCTCTAAGTTTGTGAATTGGAATGCTACCGTAGTAGCAATATTATGGATCTATATTATGATCATGAAGTGACAACATAAAAGCTCAAGTTGCACTCATAATAGCAAAATAAAGATTATTAATAGCATATCGTACTATACGAGTTGTGAGCTAATAAAAAACTCGTTCAATTGTTGTTATTCTTTGAAAGAGAAAACAACAATATTAAAAAATCAAAGAAATATGTTGACATGAATAGCTATCATGGTGCTCAAGCTTATTCGCTATAAATTTTATCTCATCATTAGAAGTGAAAGAGAGATGAGAAATATGAAAAATGATTGGTCATATATATCCATTTCTCGATAAAGCATGTTGATAAGCTTTATCAAGCACCAATGAAAAACAAAAAGATATTGCGTTGATTTTGGAGCCATGATGTTACCAATTCAATTAAAGTTGCAAATTTCACTCCAAATCCATATCTATGGAGGTATGCACATGATTTTTTGTTTGGTGTTAGATGAGATGAAATTTCAAACCAAATGAAAAAAAGGGGATCTGATTTTCTTGTTAAATTCCAAACCCTATGCATATTCTTATTTTTCGAAATCTACAATTTACTACCAAATTTTCAAAAAAATAATTTTAGTCCCCCAGATTTGAAAATTTTACGATTCAGTCCAAAGGTTTTTCAGAATATGTAGCTCGTTCCTTTCATCATCCGCAATTATGAATATATTTCAGCATTTTCAGTTTTCAACGAAGTTTTCAAATTTTCAGCCTTGTCCCTAAGGTTTTTAAAATTTACAGTTTGATCCCTAAATTTTAAAAATTTACACTTTGGTCCCTCGATTTTGAAATTTTTGAAATTTTGTCATTTATGTTCATAACCTGTTAGATTCTTAAACGTAGTTACTTTCATCTAGATAACATGCTATATCACATGGTTTATTTATTATTTATGCTATGCAATATTTTGCACCATAATGGGAGATATTTCCATGGCATACATTGTCAATTGCCATTTTAATGAGATACTTTTCCCACCGTTAAGGGGGAGATAAGAAGCCGGTTCTTGTATAACGGCGTGACTTATATGAAATGATCTTTGTCTCATCTAAATTTGTGCATGGAAATATTTAAGCACAAAAGAAAAAGGAATTCATTTACAACAATTTTAATGTGTAAATGGCTAGATGCATTTATCGAAAAAATGGTAACTTGAAATTATCACATATGTTGCAAATGAGTGCAAGAAAAAATGTACAAGAACACATTGCACATTATATTTTGCCATGAAAGGCTTATACACGAATGTCCTCGAAGGACAAATTTCACATTGCGATTAAATGGGTGAAAATAATTATGGTACACAGCTAACCAATTACATTTATACAGATAAGAGGGGAAAATATATATGTTGGTTCGAATGATTAACACCCCAAGAAGTGGGTGAATATCGTGTAAATAAAGTCTTCTAGCGCTAGTAGCATCATACTCTCATCCTATTACTTATCTCATTCATGAAAGGATTCGTCTTAAAGACGATGTTGGGGATGCCTCAACCAATATCCATTACTATGATATGAAAATACTTGCCAGCTATGGTTGCATAAATGAAATCTATATTTGGATGAGAAAATCATTGATGATTGCACGGTAGCTACCGAGATCATTTTAAATCGAACCATTATGTGTCAATAAAGAGTTGATTGCAAATAAATCATGGTTAGCTTGCTCTCGAAGTAAATAGATAGGCATTTGAGACCATTAGTTCTCAATTTTGTTGTTGTTGTACATGTAGGACATTTGTATTGAAATAAATAATGAGCTCAAGCACGTAAAGTATTATGACAAACTTCATTGATGCAATAAAGAAAATTCTTTAAAAGACAAAAATACATGGTACATGAAAATATATGAATCTCTACACCAGATCGTACCCACAAATGCTACAATCCATATTTATTCTTTAAGGAGAATCCGGTACCGGAAAGTGAAATAGTGAGATCTTGATTGATTATAAAGAAATATGGGGAGTACTAAAGATCTTATCGAATAACTATATGCACAATTTTTTTATAATGTGAAGAGCTTGAAGCTCATACATTTTAATAGATGTCGACATCTAATTGGTCATTAAAAAATGCAATTGACCATGAGTATTTGAAATTATTCATGAAATAAATTGTACATTGACTTGAAGTCAACACACATAAGTTGTGGAGTCTTTAGTACACAAGTGGCTACAATCATTGCGGTAAATTTGAATGCCGTTTGAAAATGTATTTTTATGATGCAATCATTTTATGACGGTATTCAAAATACTTGGCATGGCATCATATGGATGCAATTACCGCATATCTATATGATCATAAAATTAATGAAGAACTGATAATGCGTTGTGCATATAATTAGAGGTGTCGTGAGTTAGACTCTAGAAATGATCAATTTACATATTATCTTCAAAATATGGTACATTCACCTCAGTGAATACCTTGTTAATGATCAAATAATTTGACTTACCATTATCATGGTATAGATGTGAATGATCTAAATCTTGTGGAGACTCACGAAGAGCC